TCAGAGAAATGAAACTATAAGGACAAACAGCTTGATTTGCTTCCTCAATATGGATGGTAAAAATATGAAGGCTTAGAGGGATGTTTTTTAATTTAATTTTCCCCCTGCTTTTTTCTTTTTTTTTTTTACTATCGCTGATATGGAACCCAGTAAGATAATTAAAACAATTTTTAATTAGAGGCATCAGCTGCAATCCTTAGCTCACTAGTCTTACTGCTTCTTAGAACTGGGTTGATACAATCCTATCTTATGCCCTGAGCCCCACTGAACAGGTATATGTACACATTAAAATTTGAGAGAAACGTTCATCATAAACCACAGTTACACACCTCAGGTTCTATTAAAAAAGAATCAATAGAAATTAAATTATTCATTAAGTGCTTAAGTTCCAGCGTTTTCAATACCATTAGAACTAAGCAAAAACTCACATTTTTCCTGCTCTGACTGTCTGGAAAGCCAAGAGCATAATCCTATCAGGGCTGTAGCTTGGCCTAGCCATGTAACGTCCAATCCCTGTGAGATCCATTCCAGACTTTTTAAAACTCTTCTGCCTGGTCAAAACTGGGAAAAATATGTGATTTTGACTTTAGCTGTAAAGTATGAAAAGTTATCAGCTAGCTGACATGAACCAGCTGGATAACACTCCTGCTTTCAAGCAAATTGGACTCATAGCATTTCAGGCTTTAAACATAAGAACCACTGCTTTGAATTTGACTCAGATAGGTACAGATAGCCAATGCAACAGATGGGGGTGGGGGGGGCACCTTATTATCTTATTCTTAAAGTGCTTATATTCTGCACAGCAAAGGCAGAAATGCAGCATGTTATAATAACTGAATGTAGTCATCACTACAGTATGAATAACTTTGGCGTCATATCTCCTTTGGAAGAGTATTCAAAAATCACGGTGCCACACCTTTTTAAATCATATAACATGCTAATATACATTTCTATCAGTCCTGAAGTGTAGATCTTAAAGGGAAAGATGAGTAATTTCTTAGAGGCTGAGGTCGCAATTTAGCTTCCCAGTGTGCAGGCTGGCCAAGCTTTTTGACCTGTTTTTAATGGGTTTGAAGGGGGAGAATTAAGGATAGGAATGGGAGTGTGTCATACCCCAAGACAATTTATGGGTGATGGGGACTAATCTTTCTGCTTTAGTCTATATACAATGATTACACAGCACCCCAAAATATGCCTCATGAGCTCTAGTGGCACAGTTAGCAATGACCTGAATTGCAAGGCCCTCATGCAGGCAGGGGATCAAATTCATTTTTCTTGACCCTAACGTAAGAACAACACACCCGGCAAGAAATGGGGCAGGCAAATATTTCCATTTTGATTAACATACAGCAGAAGGAAGGTGAGGCTAAGTACCCAACAAGTTCCTTTAACAGGAGGCCAAGAGAAATTACGCAGTTCTCTACAGGAGCTGGATTGCTGGTTGTTCCACTGCATCATGATGAATATGATCAGGTCCCTGTCAATACTTAGCAACAACATAGATAGATGTTCTCCAGGAGGATCTATCCCTAACCTGTTTTTTCAGGTCTTGATCCCTCACCGCTGTAATTAAGTCCATCCACTCTGTTGCTGGTTATCCTTTTCTTCTCTTTCTTTCCATCTTTCCCAGCATTATAGACTTCTCCAGAGAGCTGTTCTTCACATAATGTGTCCAAAATATAATAATGTGAGCCTGGTCATTTGTGTCTTAAGTAAGAACTCTGAACTGATTTCTTTGATGATCCATTTGATTGTCTTCTTAGTTATTCATGGTATTCTCAGGACAACACCTTCTCCAGCACCAAAGTTCAAAAGCATCTTTCTATCCTGCTTCTTCAAAGTCAAACTTTTGCTTGCATTGAGTGCCACAGGGAAAATCACTACCTGCCTGATTCTATCTTTGTAGGTATAAATGTATCCTTGCATCTGATTATCTTTTCCAAAGCCTTCATGGCTATTCTACCAAGTGCTACTCTGCAGTGTATTTCCTGACTGTTGATTTCTTTACTATTGATGGTTGATCTTAAAAGGCAGAAGCGATCTCCCAGAGTTCAGTATCTTCACTGTCAGTTCTAAGGCTAGTTTCTGTACCTGTGGTTATTAGTCTGGTTCTTCTTTAGATTTAATCTTAGTCTCATTTTTTCACTGTGCTCCTTGACTCTCATTTCTCAGCTTGCGGATCATTTGCATTTTCAGCTATGAGAGTACCCACTGCATGAGGGGAAACAATTTGGCCAGTCTAGGAAAGGGAAAGCCCAGGAACCGCAGCTAATCAAAGCACAAAACTGAGAAACATGGGACGCATGTAGACATAATACCTTTGCCTTCTGACCCCCTCTAGTTGTCAGGTGCATTCTGCAACTCCAATTTCATAGGAAGGGATCTCACTTTTGAATCCAGGGCAGAGCTTTTTGCTAAAATTAATAGGCTCCCACAGGTACAATTGAGCTAATCAGGAAAAGTGTTGTATGTGAATAGGTCTCTGAGCCCACTCTTCCTCTCAACAACCTCTGTGACACAGTTCCTTTCTACGGTGTTTCCAGGTAGGTCAGAACTGCTAAGAATCATCCCCCTTCCCTCTCCCCTCCCCTCCCCTCCCTTCCCTTCAGCTGTTCCTTCGTAGTTCATTCCCAAGTCCCAACAGGTCATCAGTGGAAGACAGATTATATTAGTGCAGCCTTCTCTAACTTGCAATTCTCAGAATTCTGAGCCTGGCATGACATGTGGAATTATTTGAAGGGCATCAAATTGGGGACACTTGTTTTGGAATGAGGGAAAGGGGAGACAACCTTGTAACACATGAATACTTTATGGTATTTATTGGATAGCCTCAGAGACAGGTGGGGTAGGAGATGAGAATAGGACATGTTTGCTTTGAGAACAAAAGTGTATCCTTCGTAGATTTGGAAATGAAGATCCCAGGGACCAGCTTTTGAAATATTGCCCTGAGACAATATTACCTAAGAAGCAAAACTGCCATTACAGTGGAACCTCGGTTTACGAACTTAATTCGTTCCGTGATTCTAGTCGTAACCCGAATTGGTCGCGACCCGAAGCAAATTTTCCCATAAGGTTCAATGTAATTACCGTTA